GGGGGGGGGGGAGCGAGTTTTAAAGTATTTTAAGTGATAAGTAAAGAGGGGAAAAATTATGTCAAACAGAAATCCAAGAAGGCATTGTCTGCATACCTGAAATATTCCTCTGGTATAGGACTGGTCCAGATGACTTTGTCGTCACAGTAAACGCCCCCGTACTTGAGGAGAATACTGACTCGCATGATACCTGGACACAGATAGGTGGGGGTGGGGTAGAGGGGGGGGTTACGATTAAGGTTGGTACGTTATGGTGTAAATACAGAAAATGGACTGATAGGTGGTGAAGGGGGTTGGGGGTATACAATATTTCGCTTAAGATTGATGTGTTATGATATACGTAAATAAAGAATACAGACACAAAAGGGAAGGAGACACGGGGAGGAAGGGGGCGGGGTCGTGTACAATATTACGCTCAAGATTAGTGTGGTATGGTGTAAATAAAGAAAATAGACACAGATAGGTTGGGGGGGGTGGAAGGTGTATCGTATGCAATATTAGCCTCAAGGTTCATGTGTTATGTATAGAAAATAGACACAGAAGGGTGGGAGAACAAAAAAGGGGGGGGGGCGCTAAGCAATATCATGCTCAAGTTTGGTGTGTTATGATATACGTGAATAAAGAAAGTAGATACAAAAGGGTGGCATACAAAAGAATGGGAGAGGGGGGGCGGAAACATTTTAGTAGTTTACGCTCAAGGCTGGTGTGTTATGGTGTAAATTACGACAAAAGAGGCAACAAAGAATGGAATTGTCAAGTAGAAGTATATTATTCACGTATTTTGGTTGAACTGACCCTGTGCGAGCTCTTGTGTCATGGCGGCGTTGTCCTGTGAGTGCTCGGGGTAATCTCTGAGCACGTGCACCACTCGCTCTGTCTCCTGGAGCTTGCTCCACCACAGACCGGACGGGGAGTTGAGGCCGTGGATGTATACCTGGGGGTGATAGGAGAGAGATGAAAGGTGGTTGGGGGGGGGAGTGATGGGGAGTTGGTGATGGGGGAGGAGGGGGGTTCAGGCAAAAGTTCAAGTTTTTCTTACTTTTAATCATTTTTGTGACGTTGGATGATTGGAAAATTACTTTAGGTACACTTTGGGGGAGGAGGGGGTTCAGGCCGTGGATGTGTACCTGAGGGTGATAGGAGGTAGATGAAAGGTGGGTGGGTGGAGAGTGATGGGGAATTGGTGATTCAGGCCGGGGATGTGCACCTGAGGGTGATAGGAGAGAGATGAAAGGTGATGTGGGGGAGAGTGATGGGGAGTTGGTGATGGGGGAGGAGGGGGGTTCAGGCAGTTAATGTGTACCTGAGGGTGATAGGAGGTAGAAGAAAGTTGGGTGGGTGAAGGAGGGTGATGGGGAGGTGGTGATGGTGGGAGGAGGAGGGGGGGGTTAATGAAAG